CTTGCATCCGTCTCAACCATGAAAGGTCGATTTAGATCTGGAAGGCTCATAATTGCTATGTGAGCAAAGGACTGCTTGAAGTGCAGCGAAGGCTTCGTCTTGACGCTCATCCCACCGCCATGGCTCACTTTTCTTCAGAAGAACAGTGAGTGGATGTGCTGTCAATGAGAAATGCGGTATGAAGCTGCAGTAATAACCAGCAGGTCCCAGGAAGGCCTGCAATTGTTTAATCTTGCTGGGTCACGGATAATCTAGCACCGCCCGCTCTTTCTCTTCATCTGGTCTGCACTGCCCAGGGGAGATGACGTGTCCCAAGAACTTGAGGGACTGACGGCATACCTGCATTTTATCAGGGTTAATCGTAAGGCCAGCATTGTCAATGTGCTGCAACACTTCCCTAACATGCTCAACATGACTCTCAAAATCTTCAGAGTAGACGAAGACATCATCCAGAAAAGCCATGGCGAAGCTATGATTGATTCCGTGCAACAACTGGCCCATCAGGGTTTGAAAAGTTGCTGGGCCACCAGCCACCCCGAAAGGCATTCTCGTGAACTCAAATGTGCCCTGGTGGTAGATGAAGGCTGTTTTCACTATGTCAGCCTCAGAAGCAGGGATCTGAAAGAAACCCTGGGAAAGGTTAAAGCTCGAAAACCACATTGCACGGCCCAATTGTGCAAGCAGGCCAGTCCGTTCGGGGCATTGGGTAGGCAGGTATGCGGGTGCATGCATTTAATGGCCGATAGACCACAGCAAGCCAGTGGCCACCAGATTTCTTGGCAACGAGCACTGGGGCACTAGTCCAAGAGCTGGTGCTATGTCTTATAAGGCGTTGCGCCAAAAGGTCATTTACCCAGCCTTCAATGATCTTCTGCTTTTTTGCATTTACTGGGCGCAGCTTGCATCTCACAGGTGCACTATCTCCAGTGTCAATGCAGTGCTGAGCGAGGGTGGTACATCCAGGAATGGTAGTAAGGAAATGAGAGAAGTCATCAAGCACCTTATTCATGGTTGGTATATGCCTTCAGCCGTAATAGTGATCCCAATGCCAAGGACCAGAAGCTCTGCAAGCAATAAGATTCCCTATTTTCTATCTCGAGCGCGACAGTTATATCCTTGTCAAGCTTAGTAAATGGCACAATGCGCTGCGCATTTGTTCCAATAGTCCACCCCGACAAAGCCACATGCAGAGACGTGCCTGTTGCTGTCAAAAGTCTCTGCCAAGCACAATGTTTTGACACAAATCTGGCACGCACAAGAAGCATTGGATGTGGTTGCTTGAGGCCCTATGTATCTTGCACTTTAAGGATGTGCTTGACTGCGACCAACCTGTGGCCAGTCAAAGAACTCTTTCTTGTACCCTAGGTTTGGTGCCCTTCTCACCCCAGGTGGTCAAAATTTCCGGAGCCCTCCACTACGGCGTCTCTCATAATCATATGGTGGTTTTGGGACGTTAAACACCACAAATCAATCATCAAATCAATCAATTGGTGCCCGTCTCCTCTGCTACCCTTGGCGCTGGCGTACCAAGCAAACTCACACTTAACCATGTATCTTGTAGGGCCAGGAATGTAGTCCGCCCAATCTGCACCTCCAGGAGAGGCTCCTTGTTGCCGGCCATAGCCGCTACCCGCTGCGCTGTCTTGTAGGTGCTCGTCGGAGTAGCACCAACCGTCTCCCGTTTCCCGGGCACAGGGAGCGCATATGGCCGATTCTATTGCACTGATAGCAGTGGGGCGGACCGTTGCACTGAAACGAAGGGCACTCACGGCCTATGCCTCCGCATCGGTCGCACGTAATTCTACCGCTGTCGATCAGTTCGTATTGCTGCGGCTGTGGTGGCATAGGGACATATCAGGTAGCAGGAGTGGATGTTCTCTGCAGCTCGTCTCGGTGGTAGGACGGCTGTATCGCCGCGGTGTGCAACGGCCAGTATGATGCCGCCGACAGATTCTGGAACGGCGTCGCAGCCGCCGCCATTACTCCGAGCTGCGCTCCTGACAGGCCACTCAGGCTAGTCGCATTCACAGCAGGCCGGAAGACAAGGTTCCTCGCAACTTGATCGGTTGGAGGTGGCGGTGGTTTGTACTGGAATCGTTTCCAATAACACTCCATGAGGCCGTCAGCGGCCTTTGCCAGCTCCGCGAGATTTGCAAATTAATTGCCCTCCACCAAATTCTGCAGTAGTGGATGCATCTGCCGCAATACACGGTCGACTTTTTCTGTGTCTGACACTTCGCCGCCAATCCTGTCATAAAATTCCCTGATCATGTAGATGAATTAAAAAAAATTTTCTTCAGGGTGGTGGGTGCGAAGCTCCAGCTCCTGTCTCAGACGCCGCTTCGCATCAATAGACGAAAATTCCGCAACAAACGCCGCCTTGAAGTCCTCCCAGGACGCAAACGATTTGACAAAGCGCAGCCACAACTTCGCGCTCCCCTCCAGCGCAGCAGGCACGATATACGTCAGCCTTTTGTCGGCGGTCACACCAGTCATCAAGCAGAATGTCTCGAGGCGGTCCAGAAAATTTTTGGGTGATTGGGTGTCGCCGAATCTAGCGAACAGGTGGGGGGGGGGGGGGGGGGGGCTGACTTCCCAAGGACTGGGGAGCACAGTCAATCGCCGCTGCTGCTGTCATGGCACCTGCAGGTATAGGCTCCGCCATCATAAGCCTTTGTCTGACGACAGCCGCGATTTTTCTTGCGCTGTATGGCGGAGCCGTTTGTTTGTCTAAGCAACTGCTGCAGCAGCTCTTCTGGCCACATTCACGCCGTTCATTCCGGTAGCCATGTCGATCCTGGACGAGCCCCCACTTGTCACGCACTACGATACACTTGATGACAGGCAACCACGCTCACACAACCATTTATTCTCCGTGCCAAATCCCGACTGCCCACATACGACCCAATTGGTAGAATTTACTCATGACCTTGCTTCAGCTGTCGACAAGCAACAAAGTGTTGACTGTATATTTTTGGATTTCAGGAAAGCTTTTGACATCGTTACGCATAGTCTCTTGATCGCTAAACTTCGATATTACAAATTGGATGATAGGGTTGTTGCTTGAATAGCTGAGTATGTTCGCTCAAGGCAGATGTCTGTGGCTCTGAACGGTTGTTCCTCTACATATGTTGCTGTGACCTCTGGTGTACCACAGGGATCCGTCTTAGGTCGGCTTTTATTTTTGTTGTGCATAAATGAGATCAATTTCGGTACCACATCATCATATAGAATGTTTTCAAATGACTGTATAGTATATATGGCTATTAATAGCCACCTTGACAAACAAGCACTGGAAAACGATTTAGATTTAATTGCTGCATGGTGTGAAAAATGGAAAATGTCGTTGAATGTGAAAAAAAGCGTCCACGTCACCTTTACCAGGAAACTCTCGCACTGCAGAAATTATTACACGATTAATAACGCTAATCTTCAACATGTCACAGAATATAAATATCTTGGCGTATTTTCCACTGCTGATTTGAGATGGAATGAACATGTCACTTACGTTAAGAACAAGGCGGTAAGAACATTGTTTTCTGAAACGTAACTTCAGTAGTTTACCACAAAAACTTAGAGAGCAGCTCTATTTTACACACGTCGCAGTATACTGGAATATGCGTGCGTCTGCTGGGACCCATATACTAAAGAACTTACAGATAAACTTGAAAAAGTGCAGAATAGAGCAATTCGATTTGTCCTTGTAAATTACGACAGGATGCTTAGTGTGACAGAGAGCAGAAAAACATTAAATTGGGAGCTTCTTGAAAACCGTCGTCGAAACCTCAGATTAAAATTCTTTCATAGCATTTATCATTCAAGAACAGGGATCATTAGGCAATTGTATTTTCAACCACCCAACTATGTTTCTCAAAGACGCGATTATCGCTTAAAAATATGCGAGATTCCTTTTGGCGGTGATGCTTTTCGCTACTCTTTCTTTGTCCGTACTATAAGAGAATGGAACACTCTGCCACCGGAAATAGTCTATATTGATTCAAGTGATGTTTTTTTCTATGCTTTATGAATGTTTTTTTTATGTGTTTAATCATATGTACTGTACCCCTCCCTGCTGTAATGCCCTATGGCGAAGCAGCTACTTAATAAATAAATAAAATAAATATCGCTTCCCTCCTTCCCGCGTGCCCCTTCATTGTTCACGTGACACTCACGCGCCACCTCGCTCCCTGACCGTCAACTACACACAGCCTCTGAGATCCACACACAACTCCACTTGCATGCCACCTCGTTCCTCGACCGTTAATTATGCCCAACCTCCCGGCACTCCCTCTCGTTTTTCACAATATATATAGATATGTATACATATAGTACGATGAATGACGCTGACGCTGGCGGCAAAACCCAGTCGATAGTTTCCATATAATTGCTATTGCAAGGAAAAAAGAACAGCGAAACGCTTTTTGGAGTGCGCAGGTGGCGCAGCGGCTGCTTGCAGAATATAGAGCCTCTAACCACCTAAGATGAGCGAACTGCAACAAAGAAGCTGTTGCCAAACAGTATACGTGTGCGTCAATAGTAAAAGGTTAAGCTACCTCGCTTTTTTTTTTTTGCATTATCACAATTTTTGCTCGTTCCAGAAAAAGATGTCATGAAATTTGTCCCGCATCATAAGTGCACCCCCAACTTTGCTTCAATTTTTCGGGAAAGAAAGTGCATTCACTACACGAGTACATAGAGCACCTTGCACCATTCTTTTGCAGTTAAAAGCATACTATTGTGGCGATTCACTGTGAAGCCAGTTTTCTTTCCTTCAGAGTTTGCGTATACTCTATTGTTCAGTCCTGATGTTTGAACAGACAGGCTTCTTGTAAGCTGAATTACATTCAGTTCAGGAATTTCAAAGAATCAGTCTTTATGACTTCAAACCAAAACAGCAGCCCAACGCTTTAATCATTGGGCCACAATCTTGTCCTTTCTAAGAGTAAATGTTTTTTCAGTTGTGTTTGTAGTTAAATGATGTCTCGCATTTTTGTGTCCAGGGGAAGTGATCAGCTGTCTTGACGAGTCCCAGCCTGAAGTGGACCTCGAAAGCATCAAGATCCGTCTAGACTTCCTCTGCTTGACGTTGCCCCCGGATGTTGAGAAGCTGGCGCCTGGAGACGCCCGCCTGTCGTCATCGTCAATCATGTTTGATTCAGAGAAACAGCGTCAAGATGAGGATGCAGAAAGCAATGCCTCTATTGGGTAAGCTCAAGAATCTCCGCTGTTGGCCCCTGGAGGCCTTTGCGTCCTGTTTATTGTGCATGTCTGTTGTGGAAGACGGCATGTATGGTTGTGAGAAATATGAGACTTAAACTAGCTTCTAAAGATTATAGCAATGAAATACCGTTGGCATGTACAAAAGAGTTCATACTCAAATCTTGGTATAATGAATATAAATATAACAAATTATACATTATAATGCATGTTAATGAGAACAGATACACAATTATGCCAAGGAAAGTATAGGGGATGTTATCAAGAAGTAATTGTAATATAATTGCAAAGAAATAAAAGTGGACGTAAAGATAACTTGCCGTAAACAGGGACATGAGCTGCGAACTTTGAATAGCGCATCCGATGCTCTACCAACTGAGCTATCATAGCGGCTGTCCCCCAGTCCCCTTTATGAAGAATGTAGGTGCATTTAACGTGCCTGTTGGTGTGATGTAGCACGTGATCTTATTACGAGCTGGCAGCTGACCAATATGGTCAGGTGCCAATGTGGTCAGCTGCCAGCGCGTGATAAGATCACGTGCTACGAGACGCCAACAGGCAAATAATGAGCACGTCACACTCGTCTCAATGGCAACAGGCGGTGCTGACTGACACTCCCATGTTTAAATGCACATACATACACCATAAAGTGGACAGGCAGATGGCCGTAGTAGTAGCTCAGTTAGCATAGCATCAGGCGCAATATTAGAGGATCGCAAGTTGGGTCCCTTCCCAGAACAACTTATCTTTTCGTCCACTTTTCTTTCATCATAATTATATTACATTTACTTCTTAATAACATCCCCTGTACTCTCCTTGGCATAATTGTCGTAAGTTCTCATTACTATTGTTTTAAAAAAAGAGCTCTTAAATTTATTTTTCTTTAATAAAGAAAGAAAATAATCGTTTTTTCTAGGTTTGTGCAAATATTTGAATGCTTTGAATTTTTAAATAAATAGTACAATATTTGAATTTGCTAAGGTTTATAATTTAAAAATTGGAAAATTCGAAGTATTCACAATGAAGCAATAGGTGTATATTAGTTTGCATATACACCTATTGGTAAAAGTGGTTTCACGGATGTAAAGGGATGTAAAGCAGTGAAAAAGCCTATCCAGGAGAAATTTGCATTGTCGCAAAGCCTCTCTTCAAGGTTGAATGAGCATTTTAATCTCATATTAGTTGATCATTTTTTAAAGTTCAGCATCCTGTTATACTGGCTTATTTTAAATTTTAAGATGGAACATAATTTATAGGTTATCACTAGCATACAAAAAGTCAAATTTTGTTACTGTTCAAAGTCATTTCCACTCCCTTTAAACAAAAAAATTGCATTTTGCAGTAGGCTTGTGCGAATAGTTAATTTTTGGTTTGATGCAAATTCACAACGAATAGTGATTTCGATCGAATAATTTCGAATCGAATTCGAATGGTATGTATGACATATAAAAAAAAGAGAATATTTATCATGATCCAACTAACCTGCACAATATTTCTTCTGAATTGAAATAGGGGCTCTATGCAAATGCCATTTTTTTTTTCGTTCAAAGGAAATCTAAACAACCTTAAGTAGTAGTCTTGGTAGGATGCGAGTGATAAGGTACTTAACGTTTTAAAATTTATTATATTTGGATCATATAAGACGTCGTAACAAGCTTAATAAAATGAACAATTAATTTGAGGGTAATATGTTTCTTTAAAGAGGCCCTGCAGCGGCAGCGTTTTCTACCAATCGGCAGCGTTTTCTGACCATGTATGTGTTGCAGGGCCCCTTTAAATTTGAAAGGGGGTTTGCGGCAAAGCCATTTTTTTTTTTTTGTGATAGGTGCTTTCACAGTTTAGTTTTTCTACACTGTAGTGAAGCCACCTTCACAGGCAATGACATGCGGACTAATATACATCTATTCGTTCATTGCGAATACTTCTAAAATATTCGATCATTTAAATTCGAATTGAAGCGAATTCGAATACTCAACTATTTGTTCGAATATTAGAAGCATTCGAATATTTGCACAAGCCTAATTTGCACAGGTCTTGTTTAAATTAAAGATATATACATTTTGCAGGTTAGTTTAGTCATGACAAATATGCCAATTTCCTTTATAATAAGTCATATATACTATTCAAATTCGATTCGAAATTATTCCACCAAAATTACTATTTGCATTGAATTCGCTTCAAACAAAGAACTCACTCTTTGCACCAGCCTAGTTTTTTCATAGACACAGTGTTACGAATATATGTTTATAACGAATTTTTGGATGTAACGAAGTATTTTCGTGATTGGTGTAACTGTTATAATGAGGTCTGAGTATAGCTGTAAATGCTCGAGCGAAAGGTATCTCTTTCAATTAAATTTGGCCTATTCATTTTGGTATATCACAAGCAATTGTTAATTGAACAGGAATTCAGTGTTTTCTTTCGTATTTTATCTGACTGCAATAGTGGCGAACCTAAGGGGGAAAATTTAGAACTGAGAAGTATTTGTTCATGTCACCATATTCAATTTATTTCATATTGGTGTAATTTTGACTTTGAACTCTTGCAACTCTTACATCAAAGAAAAAGTTGTGTTTAGCAGCCGGATTCATGGCAACATGATGTGGTTCTTTCAAGCAGTTGTGTGTACTACAGGTTATATATGTACTGAAAACATTTATGCTGCGTTTCGATCCACGAGCACTGCAGAGTTCTGCTGCGTGAATCATTATTTTTTCTGTTCTTGCAGTCCATGGTGCTAGTGGGGTGACAGGTGCGATAAGTGGTCTTTCAGCTAGTGCATTGTATATTACACTGCTTGGTTAATTCTCTAATCCTCAAATCGGCTTAGCAGTCTGTGCGTGGCCAAGTTTATTGCAGGTTTGTTGGAATTTGTTAGGCTGAGCTTTCAATCGGACTTCAGGGATTTTCAAGACATTCTTGAGTCTAGCCTGGAGAGAGATCTTTGCATATTGTCACACGCTAAGAGCTCGAATGAACGTACAGAGGGACGTGACTGTCAAAAATCACAGAGACAAAGAAGGACCTCTCCGTTGGCACTAGTTGCTCGTCTTCGTCTTCCTCGTTCACCGGCACAGAACTGACCACTGTTCACTGGCACAGAACACCAGGTGGCATTACCCCTCCTCCCAAGAGAGCATCGACCCGATGCTCAAACAAAAGTGTGCACAGCAGTGGGTTGAAGTAGGCAACATAAAGAAACATTAAACAAATTAGTGTACCAGAGAAAATGCGTCCTGGGCCAGGCAATCGGAAATAAACGGCATTCACTGTTCACATGAAGAGTTCACTGGCACAAGAAGAAAATTGGCATCACCGCGTAAAGTATGGGTTTAGGCGGACTACGTGTACAGTCTCTGGGCGTGGTAACCTGCGCTGGGATGATGGGGAGTCTCCGTCTGTAACCACTTCGTAGTTCACGTCGCTCACACGTCTGAGTACTTTGTAAGGTCCAAAATACTTCCTCAAGAGTTTCTCACTGAGACCTCGCCGCCTAATGGGTGTCCAAGCCCAAACTTGGTCACCAGGTTCATAATTAACTTCTCGGTGGTGGATGTTATATCGCCGTGCATCTGTGTACTGTTGAGTTCGGATGTGCACATGGGCCAGTTGACGTGCTTCCTCAGCAGGCTGAATGTACTCATTGATGTCGGGGGCTAATTGGTCGAGCTTGTCGATGTCCTCATACGGAATCATGGCATCTAGCATAGTTCTAACATCTCGACCATAAACGAGCCGGAATGGCGTGAAGCGTGTAGTTTTCTGCGTTGCAGTGTTATACGCAAATGTTACGTACGGCATGATGTCGTCCCACGTTTTGTTCTGCACATCCACGTACATAGAGATCATGTCGGCTAGCGTTTTGTTTAGCCTTTCTGCTAAACCATTACCCTGAGGGTGATACGCAGTGGTCTTTAGATGGGTTGTGTAACTCAACCTGAAGATATCATCCAAGAGTTTCGCTGTGAATGATGTCCCTCAATCAGTGATGATATATGACGGGGCGCCATGCCGTAGCACAATTTGATGCATAGAAAAACTGGCAACTTCAGATGCGGTCCCTCGTGGCAACGCCTTCGTCTAAGCGTAACGCGTCAAGTAATCGGTTGCGACAATAATTCATTTGTTGCCCAAAGAAGACAAAAGAAACGGGCCTAGGAGGTCCATCCCCACTTGTTCAAACGGTGTACGTGGTGGATCGATCGGTTGTAGATGGCCTGCAGGCTTTAAATGTGGTGTCTTGCGACGCTGGCATTCACGGCATCCCTTCACATAGCGTTTGACACGGGCAGACATTTTAGGCCACTAGTAGAGTTGTCGCACCCGATCCATAGTTCTCGAGTAGCCCAGATGGCCAGATGTCGGCTCGTCGTGGCAAGCTAATAAAACGTCATCGTGGAGGGCTTCAGGCACGACGAAAAGATGAGATCTGTCGCCAGCACCGGTGTTCTTTTTGTATAAGACGCCATTTCGTAGGCAAAATGACGGCAACAATCGCGACATCGGACGAGGAATGGGCGCGGTGCCACCTTCTAAGTGATCTATAATCATTCTTAGATCGGCGTCATTTTGTTGATGAAACATCAGATCCGGTCCGCTGAGAGTTGCCACGAAGGCGCCGTCCTCTTCTGCACTAGTGCTGGCGGATAGAAGAGGTGCTCGTGATAGCGTGTCGGCGTCTTCGTGCTTTTTGCCTGACTTGTACACAATGGGGACATCAAATTTCTGTAGGCGCAGACTCTATCGTGCTAATCGTCCTGAAGGGTCTCGTAGATTGGTCAACCAGCACAAAGCATAATGGTCAGTCACCACTTTAAATGGTCTTCCATAGAGATATGGCCTAAACTTTGTAATTGCCCAAATGACCGTGAGATATTCTTTCTCTGATGTGGAATAGTTAGATTCTGCGCGAGACAGTGTGCGACTTGCGTAGGCTATTGCCCGTTCAATGCCCTCTTGTCTTTGTACCAAAATAGCTCTAAGACCAA